CCTCGGCTCCTGTGCACCCGCGGCGCCACCGCTGCCGCCTCACCTTGCTGAAGAACCACTGCTCGGCGTCCCTGCGGTTCTTGTCCGCCAGGCTCTCGTACTGCTCCCGCATCTCCGCCAGGATCTTGGTGAGGTCGATTCCAGGAGCAGCATCCATCTCCACGCTGATCTCTCCCCCCACCTGCCCACGCAGGGCGTTCATCTCCTGGCACAAGAGAGACACGTGATGCATGTCAGAGTGAAATCGGTGTATTCCCATCATGACAAATTTCTTATTTGCGCCAGCACACGAACCCCGCAGACCTTCTCCTGGAGGTTCTGCCTGAAGGGGTCGTTTCCTTCTCCGTTACCCACTCAAGCGTCTCCTGACACCCTAATGGCAGAGACACTCCGGCGCGTTTGACCTGACCCCTTTCCGTTGGGCCCAATGTACCTTTTGCAGGTCCCAGTTTGAGCCTGGCTCTGTGCTCACCTCCTCGTGGTTCTTCTTGAGGTAGGCCAGCTCCTCCTTCAGGTTCTCGATCTGCATCTCCAGGTCAGCTCTGGCCAGGGTCAGCTCGTCCAGGACTCTGCGCAGGCCGTTGATGTCGGCCTCCACGCTCAGGCGCAGAGCCTGCTCCGTCTCAAACCTGGGGACACAAGAACAGTCACGAAAGTCACACAGGATCTTGTCCAGCCGAGGACAGAGCACCTCACTGCTGCTGCCGGCATCGGGTCAATAGTGCATGACCCCAATGGTGCATGGACAACTTTCTGGTGGTGAACACTAGTGAATGCAGGGGAACAACTGATAAAACCGCATCCCTCTGAGTCCATAATGTCACCTTCACTCCTGATACCACTGGGCCTTGTTACTGGGTCTGGGCTTTGCTGAGCTACACACACACGTTAAATGCACAGCAGAGGCACAGTGCAGGTTCTCTGCTCAGGAGAGGTCGTACCACAGGGGAGCAAGAAATGGGAATAAAAGAGTGAAGTTTTGAGTGGACGCAAAACAATCCCCAAATGCCCATGGATTTAGATAACCTGCTGCTTTGGAAATTACACCTTCGTTTTGAAGGCTTTGTTTCCACATTGCCCTTTTGGGGTCTGGATGGGATTTTCTCCCCATTTCATCAAACTTCTCTGCAGACTTTGTTCCATTTTTCCAGGAAATGTGGCTTACTTGGTCCTGAAGTCATCGGCTGTCAGCCTGGCGTTGTCGATCTGCAGGAGGAGGTTAGCGTTGTCAACTGTGGCCACCAGCACCTGCAGGGTGGAGGATAAAGAAGAAGCACTAAATGAGCATCAGGAACTCCTCCTGGCTGACCAAGGGATGGGAGCGCAAGTGAGACTGTCGCAACAGGAGTAGTTTTGGGTTTCCTTAGCAGAAGCGTGTATTGAATCAGGACAAGGGGGAGACAGCTGAGACTGACTGCAGGAAGGGGCTGATTACTCTGTGACCTCCCTTTCCAAAAGTCCTTTGGTATTTCACAAGGCCGCATGAAGCCACGCAAGATGTGTGACATCTGATGAGGTTATTTGTTTCCATGCTTCAGGGCATGTGCTGATTATGCAAGGGTCAAGAAGGAATCATCTGCTCTCCCCCCACAGCACCGTGTGGCTCTGCTGGCCGGACAGAGGGACCAGCAGGGTGCTTGTGCCTGGCAAACCTTGTGCCCATTTGTTCAGGGATGGATTGAATTTGCTGACTGCAGAAATGGAGCAAAATGCAGCGAGCAGGTGCCTACAGCTTCTGATTTTTATATTACAAAACCAGGAACAAATAATCCACAGTGGGAGAAGACTCGAGTCAGAGTTTGGGAGGACATCCGTTGAGGGGTCAAGGAGAGGGAGGGAAGATGGATCCCCTGCATCCCTTGCCAGCTCTCCTGCAGCTCCACCTATACACTGCCCTCCTTCATGTTTACGGGGGGCAATTCCCACGTAAGAAGTAACAGAGAAGAACAAAGTCAACTCTAGTATTTCCTCCAAAATGGGCTGGTGGGAATCAAATCAGAACAGAGAGAAATGCCCTCGATCTGCCTGGGTGGGTGGGTTTGCAGCAAGCCTGGCACTGGGGCAGGCACTGCCAAAAGGAGACGAAAAACTCATTCTTGGTCAGTTCCATCTTTTTCTCTTTAGCATCTAAACCACATCAATAGGGAGGAGCTGAAACAAGTTTGCAAATTCTTTGACTGAATGTTAACAGACGTGACATCGGGGTTTCACAGTTTGAGCACACCTACAACCTTGCTTGCACTTTCATTTTAAACTCTCAAAAAACCTGCATTATCAACGCAGACTTGTCTCTTATTCTTCATTTTTGCACTATGTCCTTTTACACCTGCTGCTTCCAGTGAAGAGAAATGGACAAATCTCAGAATTTCCAGCCTGGTGCTCTGCATGTGAGTCTGAGACACTAATTACAGAGGGAGCAGTCAGTGTCTCTGCCTCCTCTGACAACGAGACAGCCCACTGTGTTACTCACAGCATCCTACCTTGTTCCTGAGCTCCTCGATAGTCCTGTAGTAGGGGCTGTAGTCGCGGTCTGGACCAGGTCCCTGCTTCTTGTACCACTCCCTGATCTTGACCTCCAGGTCAGTGTTGGCCTCCTCCAGGGCACGCACTTTGTCCAGGTAGGCAGCCAGGCGGTCGTTGAGGTTCTGCATCGTCTCCTTTTCGCCAGCCAGGAAGATGCC